TTGGACCCCATCGCGGCGCTGGGAGCGCGAACCACGGCCTTGGCGACCGCCGTAGTCCTCGTCGTCGCTGATGAGGTCGACGACCTCGCGCTTCTTCTGCCGCTTCGGCGCAATCTCGGCCGCGGAGAATGGCGACGAGGCTCCCTGGCCCATCATGTCCTGGTATCGGCGGCGAAACTGCTGGACGAGGGTGGCGAACTTAGCGCCGTATAAGTCCACCTTGGACTTGTCAACTCCGCGGATGGTGTACATCTGGGCGACGGTCATCGTCCACCGGATGGCCATCTCCCGGTACTGCTGCTCGGTAAAGAGCGCCCGGCGGAGCCCGTGCTTGTTTCGGAGGCTTTCCTCCATCTCGTGCGCCCGCTCGACGAACGCCTGGACGACGTCCTGGTGATTTCGTCCAGGCCCGCCTCGTCTAGGCGCGGGTCGCGCGAGATGGGAGGTCCCAACTCGTCTAGCGTCTGCTGCCGGCCCGGGGGCGGAGGGCGTTGGGGGAAGGCGGGGGGGTCGAAGAAGGCCGCTTCGGCTTCCTCGTCGGAAACCACAAAGTCGTCCCGCTCGTAGCCGTTGGCGTGCAGGTCGCGGCCCGCGTCGCCTTCGTCACCCTCGTCGCCCGTGTCGTCCGCATCAACTTCGTCGCCCTCATCTCCCTCATCCACGGGTGTCGGCACAACGGATCTGTCGTTCCATTTTCTCGACAGCCCAGAGATGGGCGACGAGATATTTGTGGACGGCGGGGGACCTCTCCCCCGTGCGCCGCCAAGGGTATCCGGGGGCGACTGGTTGGCTTTGGCGCCACGCCCTCTCTTTTTCATCGGCGGCGGAGCCAAATCCGGCCTCCTCACTTCCAAACGCAGCCGTCGTCCCTTCTTAAGGTATTCCTGAGCCAGCGCGTCCAGCTACCATAACGTTAGCCTAATTCAACCCGATACACCCCAAAAAGAAAAAAAAAAAAAGAAAAAGAAAAAAAAAAAAAAAAGCGGTGGCGACGGTGTGAGTGCTTACCTTGTAGTTGGTGACGGGGATGCCATTGCTCACGCATGTCTCTTGGTGGTCTTTTAAGGCGCCCTCGGCGTGGAGAGCCATGGCGACCCGCTGCACCTCGTAGTTCTTCATTCCTTTGCAGACCGCAAAGCCAGGGATGTGCTGGTGCTTCCCAACATTTTTGCTCGCCGTCACGACCTCGACTAGCTTGCCCAAAGTGATCTTCCCTTGGGACTGGATGGCCGTGAGAAGAGCCACAGCGCACTCGGTAAAGTCTTCAAGAACGGGCTCCCCGCTTGTTAGCCCGGCGACACAATTGTCGCACATGCTGCCGCACTCCTTCGCATTGAAAGCCTCGTCGAAGTATCGGAGGATTTGAACCCGGCGACAAGCGTAGGAGCTCTCGCAGTACGACACCATGCGATTGATCATGGCATGTTGTCGCTCCTTCTCCGCGGGCTGCTTGTCCCTATCTTCGTTCACCATTCGCCTCAGGGTGGGGATGTCGCTGTAGGCAAAGTAAAGGTAGCAATCCGAAGGGTTCCCATCCCGGCCCGCGCGTCCAGTTTCTTGATAGTAACCCTCCAAGCTCTTGGGCATATTCTGATGGATGACAAACCGAACATCTGGCTTGTCGATGCCCATGCCAAAAGCAATCGTGGCGACGACCACATGGACCTCGCCCTTCTGCCACTTCTCCTGAACTTCGACCTTGGCCTCGGGGTCCATCTGGGCGTGATAATAGCGAGCCTTTATGTTATGCTTAGTCACGAGGGCAGTCGCCGTACCCTCGGCAGATTTGCGGGACAGACAGTAGACGATGCCGCACTGCCCGGGATATTTCGTGGTGATGAGTTTGCCCATGCCTCCAATAAAACGCGCGGCCTTGGGAATGACTTCGTAGTAAAGGTTCGGGCGGTTAAAGCTCTGAGTAAAGATCTCACAGTTCTCCATGCTGAGATTGTGCTTCACATCGGCCATGACGTTCTTGGTAGCGGTCGCGGTCAACGCCATGACTGGGACGCCAGGGAAGGCGGCTCGAAACGTCCCTAGGGCCTTATAGTCGGGCCGAAAATCGTGCCCCCAGTGGCTCACACAATGAGCCTCGTCGATGACGATGCGGGCTAGCTTGCCCTTGTCATAGAGGGTTTGAATGCCCTTTTTGAAAGCAGGGCTGTTGGTGATCATTTCGGGCGTGACATAGAGCAGCTGGACGTGATGCTCTGGGTTAGGCTGGTGGAAAGCGCCTAGAATGTGGTTGCGGAGTGCGTTGTTGATGGTCCCCGTTGACATTGCAGCAAGGATGTTGAGGCGGGTCAGATGGGCCACCTGATCGTTCATCAAACTAAGCAGTGGGGATACGACAAGGCGTGACACCACGAGTTTTGCCCGAGTTGACCAGGGCTGGGAGTTGGTAGCAGAGCGACTTGCCGCCTCCAGTCGGGATCAGAACAAAAGGTCTTTACCCGGCCAAGGGTAGCGTTGATGGCCTGAGTTGGGTTACGGCGAAATTCCCGACTTTCCGGAACCGATCTTTCAGGACTCGCGACATCGAGACCAAGGGAATCTCATTAACTCGGCGTTAATAGACGCCTTGACTTGTTGTGAGAGCGCATGGGCGGGGCAGACGCCCGTTTCCGTGGTGGCGGCAGCGCAGCATTCCCCGATGACTCGGATAGTTCAGTGCGAACGGGATATGCGGCCGTGACGGATGTGGACTGTTGCTGCTGCTGTTGCAGCTCAAAGCTGTTTGCGGCTGCCAACATTTCTTCCTCGTCGCTGTAGTCGTCAAACTGGTCAGAAGCAAACGCCTTCATATGCTTGCTAGGTGTTCTGGTCGGCTTGGTGGGCATTGGCCTCGGCAGAAAATCTGCATCAGGGCTGGAAAGCGGGGAAGAGTCTCGTAAGTCCATGTGGCCCTCGTTGATGGCATTCCCAAAATCGTCATCATCCAGTATCTCTATGCAGGTTCGATCATCTGTGTGGTCTGTGCGCGGGTTGCTAGGTCTGGCCGAGCCGCGTGCCTGGGAGAAAGATGGGAGCGAGGGCAGGGTAGCTGTGTTCACGAGCGTGGTGCCTGCTGTCTCCTGGGTTCGGCCCTGTGATAGCTGTTGGGTTCGGTTCTGCGATGGTTGTTGGGTCTGGAGCACCACCTGGGAGTTGTATTCCGGGATGTCGGCACCCCTTTTCGACAAGGCTGCCGGGCCGAGCTTGTGAGACGGCTGTGTGGCAAACACAACAGGAATGACGGGTGAATCAGGGGCTGCGATGGAGTCATTCGGATCCTTGAGAAAATCCAGGTCATCAATACCCACGGCGACGAGTTGGGCGAGAAGTTCCCTCTCCTTGGCCCCCCATCTCCCCTGACCATATGTCCAGCTGAGCCTCCTCCTCCCTGGTGTCCAGACCGTCGGCAAATGCATTCCCAAGCTCTACCAACAATTCCTCCCTTTTGTTGCTAAGCTCCATATAGTTTTCGTGCTCGGACTTTGATGGCGTCCAAAGCCTTTCGCTTCTGTACCAACGCGTTCCGGGCATCTCGCACCCGTGCTCGGTCTTCCCTCGGTGCATTCTCACAGGAGACAGTTGAGTGTATGCCTCCTTATTTCTCTGCAGCTGGTCATCAAAGAAAATGATCTTGGTGTCCAACACAGATGGGCGCTCAAGAAATAGATGAAATAGATGCTTGTTCCGTCTGAGGTTGGAATCGCGCGAGCCTTGCGAGTCTTGTTGTTTGGGCAGGGTATCTTGGGATGGCACGGCCTCATCAGACCGAACTTCTTCAACAGGATCACTAGACGGCTCCCCCATGTCCTTTTCTTGGATAGCGGTAGCGGGAGAAAGATCCCCAAAATGCGGCGGCACTTCGGGCCGAGTCTCGTGGGTGGGAGCCGGTGTTTCGATCTCCATGTGCTGGTCCTCGTCGGGGGGTTGATGGCTGCCAGCCGGGTCAGGGCTGCTTCGGTGGTCATCCACGGGTGGTTGGTGCATCAACGATATGACCATGTCGTCCTCCGAGTCCAAAACGATATCGTCCCTTGTCTTGGGCTTCTTGTTAGTTTGGGTGAAGGGTGTAAGTCCCACCTCGATGGATTCGTCATGGTTGGGACTGGGCGACGAGGGTGTCTTGCGTTTCCGGCTAGATGTGACACAATCCGGCAATGTCTCGACGGTTATGGACGGAGAACTGTCCAGATCGTGGCCAGGCGAACCCGAGCCCACCGCTTCAATGCACCTGTCCGCATCCCAACTCATGCTGCTGGGCGGTTCCATCCCGGCGACATCCACATCGTTACCCTGGGAGGCCAATCTCGTCGCAGCCTGTGGGCAAGGGCTGTCTGCCACCACGGGGACGGATTTCGCCCGAAGTTTGGCGACAGACCGAAGAACGGACGAGGGGGGAACAAGGTCATCGATATCCGGGTATTCATCGTCTTGGCTGGGCAGGTCCAGCTTGATAGCCATGCCTGACGTCTGGGGCATGTCGTCCATCCTCAGCCTCTTCGCGCGACTGGAAACAGGCTCGGGACGTTCAGCAAAATCCTCACGCCACAACATTTTTTCCTCGCCAAATTTCAAGACTGAACTAGAGCCGTCTTGGTTGTCAAAGTCGGTCAAATCCAGAGTGTCCGAAAAAATATCATCGTCGACGTCGACGAAACCAATTGACTGGGCTGTTGGGCGGGTGTTGCGAAGGTCACCAGCATCCGGGATCGGGGAAAGTAGTTCTTGTCGTGACCGAAGCGTGGTGGAAGGCGATGCGTGGGCGAGCGATGCCGAGTACGCGCGTTGCAAAGGGCCAATTGGGTTGTGCCGGTGGTGGGTGCCGGGGTAGGCAAAGTTGCTGTTTGCTAAATGGAAGTTGCGTATTGGGAAATATTGTTTGGTAGAAGGAATAATCCAAGCCTTTTGCTTTCACGGGCGCTTGGTCAGTGTGCGCAAACTGCCCGGGGTTTGGCCGTTGTGCGCGAGGGTGAAAGAGCGCGACGTGCTTGTGGAAAGCGAAGGAGGAAGAGAATTGGAGGGGAAGGTAGAATTTATAGCCCGCCGAGCGGCGGCGGAAAAACGGAGGCCGATGGGGGTTGGAAGTTAAGATGAAATCCGTAGACTGGGTTTTGGCGGTCGCAGAAAGAGGTGGATGAGAGTCAAAATTCGAGGTCGAATTTAAAGGGTTCGAGTTAGGCGTGGGATCCCTGGCCCCTCGTTGCGTGGTGTTATGGGGAGGTGGACGAGATTTGCCGGTGGAGTTAGAATTTGTAGGCCGCCGCGAGACGGTAGGAAGCGGCGGGGGGGGGGAGTTTGAAGCGGAGGCCGAGGCGGAAGTGGCGACGGGGGGTTTCGTGGACGAGTTCCTTGGAACGGGGGTAGAGGTCGAGATAGAAGCTAGATGGTTGGCCAGATAGGTTGCCCGGGTTGGTTGAGAATCCAAGTTAGGGGTCGAAGATGCGACGGAAGTTGGGACAGAAGAAGGGACATGGCTGAGCGAATCTGAGGCCGCGGGGAGTTGCGGCGCTGTAGTTGGTGATCGCTTTATGGTGTTTAGCAGCCAGCCCAGATGCTCCCCCAAGTTGTTGCGGGTCATGAGGCCGAATTGAGACAAGTGTCCCAGACCCGAGCCATGCGCATCCGTACCTCAAGATTCCGGCGGAATCCTAGTTAACGAGCAGATGAAGTTGGTTGAACAGCACCCAGATGAAGCTGTCTGTTTGGTTTTTTGTGGGGACAATCCACGAGAAACAGAGCGGGACGCGTCGTTCAGGGACACGACGCGCCGTCAGCTGTTCTGGTGCCTGTAAGTGGGGTACAGAGGTACCGAGCTACGGGTGCAGGGATCTAGGTGGGGCGGCAGTCTGGACCAGATGGACAAGCGGCAGGAGCCGACAATAAATTTCTGACATCCAATGGCTAAAAGTACCTAACAATACCGAGGCATTGAACCTCAACAATAGCACGAAACATCAACTCTCCGCGTGGCGGAGGAAATGGTTGGTCCATCTCATATAATTTTGCAGGATAATACTAGTAAGAAAAGAAAGCGGTGTTGCGCGAGCAAAGGACAGTATTCGGTAACGTAAAAAGGCTCTGCCTTACACTATATACCCCTTGACATCCGTCCTATGAGCCAGACACAAAATAAATATCTTCAAATTGATAGGCACCTCGTCCTTGGGCGCCAACTGGAAGACCGCCAGACGGAAAGGTTGTGAGGTGGACCAATGCTGATGATGAATCTGGCTCACAGGTTGTGGCACGGTCCTTGACGCAGGTACATACCTCTACACTACATTTAGTTAGGTATTGGGATTTGATGTAAGAAGCGGGAGGCTTGGTGTGGCGAGTCTATCAAATATGCTTGACATTATTTTATGGGTAAGAGGAGCGATGCGTTCGGTAGCGAAGGCATCTTCACTTTCGCAAATGTAGGGGTTGCATGTCTATAACCTATATCTTGGATTGACTCTGTTTATTAATAGGTAACTAAAATATTAACCTATCATTGACTCTATGCGGGCTCCTTGACACAGGAAAATTCTTTCCACCATGAGGAACAGCAAGGCCTGCCCTGCGAAGCCCATGCCCCAAGTCTTTCATGGCCTCCCGCAGACATCCTGCCTTTTACCTCTCTTTTATCTTTCCAGCCACGCCCATTTTATCTGGTATCAATGCACCGCCCAAACGCCAGCCAAACGACGCAAAATAACAAGCAAACACTCTCCCCCATCACGCCGAATCCTCGGCACTCTCCTCCGCCTTGGGTTTATCCGCCGGGTTGAACAGATACATAACCGTCACCAGCAACTTACCCGCCGCAGAGACGACCAACGCCGCCGGCGACCCCACCCTCCTGAAGATAAACGCGCCCGCCAGCGTCCCCAACACCAGCGCCGCCAAAAACCCCAGCCTCCTATTCCGGCCCCTGTTGCTGCGCGCATACAAGTTCGGATCAATCATCAGATCGACCCACGCGGCCGTGGCCATGGCCGTCGTAATCTCGGTCACGCGCAGGGAGCGGGCCTGGACGACCTGGCTCCCCGCGGCGGTGGCGAGCAGGCCGATGGCCCAGAGGGTGCTCGGGGCGCGGGCGCCGTCGAGGTCGAGGCGGCCCGTGGTCGGGGAGCGGTGGGCGTACTGCAGGCCCGCGGCAGCGAAGACGAGCGCCGTCTGCAGCAGGTTGCACAGCACCAGCCAGCAGCGGCGCCGCGCCCCCACGATGTGGCCCAGCTGGCCCGTCAGCCAGGCCGCCGCCAGGAAGAAGCCCAGCGCGATGCCGATGTTGGCCGTGTAGAACATGTCGCCGTCGGCTTCGGGGAGGACGATGGCTAGGACGAGGAAGACGGTGTTGCCGGTCTGGTTGGAGGCGAAGCAGTGGAAGTCGGGGAAGGAGACGGCGTCTGTTTGGTGGGGGGGGGGCGGTTGGTTAGTAAGTGGTGAGGGCATAAGCGTTGTAGGTTATAAAAAAGGCGGCCGTTACCTTGGAGACCAATGCAGAAGGTGAGGATGAGGAGCTCGAGCTCGGCGAGGGCCGAGGCACAGACATTCTCGTTGAGATGCTTCCATGCCCTTGAGCGGGTTGATGGTTGTCTGTTTGGCGACTTGAGGCCTTGGGACTCGAGCACGCCCCCGCTAGAGGGTGTGCTAGGGGTTGACTCTTTTTCCTGTGTCATTGCCACACAGGATGCCCGGATTCAAGTTGGTGTGTTTGGGGATGCTCAAGGAAATCTCAAGGAGAGAGAATTCAGAATTGATTCGTATTAATACCGTCAAGAGTCAAGTTTGAGTTGTCTAGAATGAGAACCCAAACAATGGTATATGTACTCATGGATGTTATACAAAGGGAGCGGGACCTGGCATGTGTAACAACAAGCGGCGGCATCGGTGAGAAGATATAGTGTCAAACTTTGTTTGACTCACAGCCATGAAACCAACAAATGGTCCATTGGGTGTTGTCCTCGACCGAGTTTTCACGATATCGCCCCTACAGGGCTCTTCCCGCCTTGGCTGGGCCGGTGGATCCACGCCGACACCCGGCCACTAGCTTCCCCGAGAAAGACGGTGTGCCCCGTCGGTTGCCAATATGGATAGCTCCCTTCAGGCCGCCCACACCTAAGAACCTTGGTGGCCGCCCCCGAGAGATGGAATGCGTGGTACAGGTAATCAATTCGACAGTTTGGAATAAGCCAAGCGCCCACTCGATGCACTCAGTGTTGAACACATCATGTATTCGTTCCGAGAGGCGCCAGTATTGTGGTAGGAGATGACGGCATGGTGGCGCCAAGACGACAACTGGACAAGGGGCGAGATAACCCCTGAGTCCAGACTTGATCGTTTGTCGGTTTCAGGAAACCGCGTGACATCACCTTTCGGTTATGGGACGGGTCGAGACCGGAGGTCTCCCGGCACGGTCGGTAAAAGTGGGGCAGGTTGGACCCGCTTTTCGGCAGTCGGGATTCCGGCCGGTCCTTGGTGGCCGGCCCGGGAGTGGATTAGAGAGCACCGGGCGGCCGGAGTCAAGCATCCAAAGCACCCCTCCGGAATGGCGACATGCCAACTTTATATCAGGCATTTCCCCTCCTGTTTTAGCACGTAGGATTAGCGATTGCGCCATCGACACCGGCGGGGATCATACTGGTCTGCCGTGGTGAGGCTTCCGATAGCCGCCGAGGGCCGAGTGCACGAGCCACTAACCCACTGAAAAGTCTCAAGATTCTGTGTTGTTTGTGCATTTTGTGCAGTTTCTTCCGACGATTGCCGTCAAAAACTTCGGGTCGGTGTCCCATAACGGCGAGACCAATGTGCGTTTCCGGCTCACCGCTGGACCCTTTCAACGGTCGGAGAAATGAGCAACGGCACAAACCGGCATCGAGAGCGACTGCGTGCGACAAGTGGTTGTGGATGCCATCGTAGTGCAGGGGTAGAATCGTTCGCTGAGAGGGCGGGAATCATGGAGAAGTTGCACCATTGGAATTGCAGAGGTGTGGAATCATCTCGAGACTGGCTGAAAAAGGATCCGAAGGGAGGCCGCACGCTCTCGAGGTTGCAACAGGTGGGATGCAATGTAATGTAAATCAGCCTCCGTTCCCTGAACCGAGCCGCGCGTTCTTGGCGTAACTCCGCGGTATGCACGATTTGGAGTGCCCAGGATCGCCAATCTGAGATCTGGAATGTCGTCGTCCGAGTTAAAGATGTAGAAAGAAGAATTGGAGCAGGTGCGGACCGTACCCATTTTGATATGGCCGGCGGCAGATTGAAAAGAGGCAGTTGCGTTTGGGGATTTTGCGGGGGAGCGAGAGCACGTTCTCAGTTCGTGGGGGTTCTCTTCACGTTCACAGGTGCCCAGGCGCCGCGAGGCGGGTTCCAGCATTCCCGAGCCCAGCAAACAAGCATTTGCCAAGTCCCAACCCTCAACTCCCACCGACAACACCATCTTCTTGCTTCCATCTTTTGCAAGTCGTTATCAAGCCGGGAATGTTGCATCGAAATCTAGGTTTCAACCTATTCTTCAATCACGAGACCCAAATGGTTGACCGCCTTGAAAATCAGCAGGAATTCCATCTTCATGATTCGAAATATCGATCCTTTAGAGCGTTGCCCGGTGCGGCAGTGCCCTACTTTCCTTATCAAGGGGGTTTCGGGCCCGAAAAGGGCTATCTTTGGACTGGTCGAGGCCAATGTGGAGGAGTCAGATAACCATCCATCTTGTGGGCCGGGCCGAACGGGGTTACGAACTTGGGAGGTTTAGACCTGGTCGCCAGAGATAAGGATGCATACCACCTACCATCGGCCATCGCCTCCGCAGGTCCACGATGCGCACCAGTGTCAATGTTAGCGCCATCTCAAACGCACCTCTGTAGCCCAGCTAAGCTCCTAGCTACTTTTAGGGCTGTTGCTAATGGTATTCTAGCCAACCCCATAATTACGGCACGACAACTACCAACACAACAACATTTCGGGGGCTTGACAAGCTCGATCGATATGTGTGCAGGTGAGACCGGTTGCTGATTATACCGTGGAATAGCAAGTCAGCGACGAACAACCTTCTGGTCACTTCGTCCAGAGCACCACATCCGTACAAGGCCCACGGCTCTTCTCGGTCACGGCAATTGCGCATCTCCGAGGTAGCGGGAGCGCTATCTCGCCGCGGGTTTCCCGCCCGGCCCGTATATCCCTGCTGCTCCTTATCTGCGATCAACAGCGAGGAGCTGGAGGCCAGTCAACCTTAGGGTCCTGGCCCCATTGCACACACAGCCAGCATGCCATTGTTGCGCTCTGCGCGCATCAGAATAGCATGTCTCCGCGGCCTGACATGACCCTATTCTCACTGTTCCCATGCCAGTGACACAGAGCCGGAGATAAGGAGGCGGTTTTAGAGTCGATCAAGGCGGCGGTGCCCTTGGTAGGGTCGACGCTTTTCTGTAGATACCAGGCGGTATGGCTTGTGTATAACAATTGATGTCGGTCCTTTCGATGCTGTAACTTGGCTGTCCACTAGCACCTGCCTAGCAGTCATTAGCTCTACTTTGAGCAGGACGGCCATCATGGGTTTCAAGTTCTCGCACCTTTGCAGCCCTCCAAACGTCAACCCGATCACCCTCAAGGCCCGGTCAATACCTTTCTTCAACCCGGTGGACCTTTACGGGCGCGTTTTCTTTTTCTCCTGGTTCGGGTTTATGATTGCCTTTTGGGCCTGGTACACCTTTCCGCCTCTGGTGCGCCGTCTCGAGTCGTTGGATGGTGTTGTGGGAAATCTGACAGCCTCGGTAGTTGACCCATACCGTCAGAAATGATCTTCACCTATCAGTGACCGAGGTTGCCAATTCGAACATTGTATCCTTGTGCGCGACGTAAGTGGTGGTCCCCCGATTGTTTTCGTGAGTGTTCCTTACAATCCTAGACTTCTTGTTCGTCTTATCGCGGGCCCCCTGTGCGACCAGTTCGGCCCTCGCAAAGTCTTTGGCGGCCTGCTTCTCGTAGGGTCGATCCCGCTTGGTCTAGCCCCCCTAGTACACAATGCTACCGGCCTCTATGTGAGCCGCTTCTTCATCGGCATCCTCGGGGGTTCCTTCATTCCTTGCCAGGTTTGGTCAATAGGCTTCTTCGACAAGAACATCGTGGGAACCGCCAACGCCCTCACAGGCGGCTTCGGCAGCGCTGGCGGTGGCATCACTTACTTCATCATGCCAGCGGTTTATGACGGGCTGGTAGCTGCCGGGTATATACCTAGCCAAGCCTGGCGGCTGACCTTCATCGTCCCGCTCGCCATGGTCATCACCACGGCCATTGCTCTTATCGTTCTCTGTCCGGACACCCCGACAGGCAAGTGGGCCGACCGTCAACGACACGCCCAACCCTACCTCGACGGCCAAATAGACAACTACAACCAAGGCTCCCAGTCAGAGTACGACACCGCCACCACCTACGCCGAAAAGGCCAGCATCATCGTCGACATTCCCGGCCTCATAACCGACCGCCCCATCACCCCCGACCCCAAACCCACCACCTCCCGCCCGCCATCCCCCGACCACGACAGAACCTCGATCATCACCATCACCCTCCACATCGCCCTCAACAAACACAACGACCAACCCCCTTCCACCTTACGAGCTATAACACCGGGCGATTCCCAGCTAGTCCAAGTAGGGGGACTACTTACGGCCATGACAGCGCTCTCTAGAGATCCCACTTTACGGCCCCACCGGGCAGAGCAAAAATAGAAGAGGGGGATGATTTATGGCAGCATGAGGAAGCGAGTCTAGGGGAACAGAAAGTATC